GAGGAGGAGGAGGAGGAGGAGGAGGAGGAGGAGGAGGAATGCTTGGAAGCGACAGTGGCCGTGCTCGCAAGGCCTTCTAGCGCGCCCACTTTTGGGTTTTGTTCCAGCACCTTGCTCTGCGAAGCCGCGAGCGCAGGAGCGTGGGCATGGGCATGGGCATGGGCATGGACAGGTACAGTAGAGGCTTCCAATGAGCTGACACGGACCTGATTCGACGGCCGAGCGGCAGCACCGCCTTGTTCCTTCTTTGCGCGCTTTGCAGGTCTGTTCTGCCTGATTCGCCTCTTTTCCTCTTTGCGTAGTCTTCTGATCTTTGCCTCTTCCGTCTCCTCGGACACCGTCTGCGCAATGTGCGTCTCCAAGTCCATCTCCGCGCTGCGCTTGCCAATGCGCTTGTCCGCCACCGCACCACTGTTCGCTCCTGTGCCCGTGCCCGCGCCCGCGCCTCTTCTCTGCTTCCTTCGCTCCTTTTTGGCGCGCAAGTATCGCTCCTTTGCTCTGGTCTTTTCCTTCGCCGCGCCGCTAAGCGACGAGCGCTGTTTGCGATCCGTAGCCCTGAGCGTAGAGGAGAGAGCCAAGCGTGAAGGATGAATGTTGGGTGCTGCGCGGGGCGGCGGCGGCGCAACTTCAAGTGCGGGTGCGGTTGCGGTTGCGGTTGCGGTTGCGGTTGCGGTTGCAGCGGCAGCGGCAGCGGAAGCAGTCGGAGCGACTAGACTGGCATTCTGTCCATCGCCAGACACTTCGGAGATGCCCGCTAGCGCCTTGCGTTGAGCTAAGCGAGCGTTGAGCTGAGCCAACTTGGATTGACGAGGATCCGGCATGGCAGGTCGAGAGGCAGAGGCAGATGCAGAGACAGAGGCAGAGGCAGAGGCGCTGCCCATCCCTCCATTCTGCCCCGCCCCTGCGCCAGCAGCATCGAACCTGGCTACATTGAACATCGCCCCGCTGTCTCTTGAGCTTTGTTGTGCCGCCAGAATGGGATCAGAGTGTGAGTGGGAGATGGAGCCGACTTGGGTAACGAGTCGCGCGTGATCAAGTCACTGCGACTATGACTGAGTCAAGAGTTTGAGTGCAACGAGTGCGAGTCCTCTGGCTTGCTTGGTGCTTGGCCTTTCGCTCGACTCACGACTCCGCTTCCCAACGGGCGCGCGATCCAAGTCGCAATCTTGAAATCTGTGAATCAAGTCGAGCGTCCAAAATCAAGAATTTCTTGGGTTGCCTATGCACGCAACGCATTCTCGTGCGAAAGAGATGAACACGTGTCAAAAAGACGGCTGAGCCACGTGGCCGTCGCCCGCGCGGCAAGCAGATTTGCGAGCGGCGTCGACGCACGCGTGACCAGCAGCGCGCCGGCGAATCACAAGAATCTTTGCAGCTGGCGATTCATTCTTCCCTCTTCTCCACGAGCACGGCAGTGAGTATCGCGGACGCTTTGGTCAGAGAGCATACACGGTGGCAGCACGATGGATGCTGCTTTTGTTCAGCACGCAATCATCGCAGTATCTGGTCTGCTTTCGGTCCTAACGCTGCGCGCTTTGGGGGGTTATGAGACAAATGATCGATCGCTGACTTTGCACCCATCGCTTGCCCCCCCGCATCGCCGTCAGAGGACGTCAAGAAACCCAATTGGCTAGCAAGTGCCCATCATGCAGATCTTCGTCAAGACCCTGTGAGTGGCAAGGTGAAGCAGTGGTGGAGCGATTCACATTCTCCCCCCGCTCACGTTCGGTCTACGTCCCTCTCTCCTCGCCTTGCGCCATCACAGCACGGGCAAGACGATCACCCTCGAGGTGGAGTCTTCTGACACCATCGACAATGTCAAGGCCAAGATTCAAGACAAGGAGGGAATCCCACCCGACCAACAGCGTCTGATCTTTGCAGGCAAGCAACTCGAGGATGGACGTACGCGTGAGTTGAGGGGGTTCGCTTCCGAGGGAATGCGAACCGGTGTTGAAGGGTAGCGACGCGATGCGCCTCTGACATGACCGCACGCACGCACGCACGCACTCTCAGTGTCCGACTACAACATCCAAAAGGAGTCTACGCTTCACCTAGTCCTTCGTCTTCGTGGCGGAGCCAAGAAGCGCAAGAAGAAGACGTACACGACTCCCAAGAAAATCAAGCACAAGCGCAAAAAAGTAAAGATGAGCGTGTTGAAGTTCTACAAGGTGGACGGTAGCACTGGAGCGATCAAGAGGTTGCGCAAAGAGTGCCCAGCTCCTACTTGCGGAGCTAGCGTGTTTATGAGCTGGCACAAGGATAGGAGCTACTGTGGAAAGTGCCACCTCACTTATCTGCACCCTGCTGCCGACCCCAAGTGAGGCAGGCGCTCATGGTACGGTTCGAAGTTGGGAATGCAATACCCAAATCGCAGTCGGATCCATCTTTGAGCGCGAACAAGCTACACTTGACGCCTCTACCCGCACACATGCACATGCACTCAACATCCTGTCGGTCTTTCCCTTTTACGACAACTTTTCCCACTCGTGCGAATGCTCATATCGGATTGCGCGAGTCGATCCACATGCGAAGGGATGAGTGATGAAGCGATAAAGATTTGGAAGAAAAGTCGTGCCGTGTCGGGGGCTTGTCATACCCTTGATGTGCTTGCTGCTGGGAAAAAAGAAAGAAGTTCGAGCATTCAATCGATTTCGATGAACCCATTTTGATTGGCGCGCGCGCGCGTGCCAGGGGGAAGGGGGGGGAAATCCTTGCAAAGCCCCGATTCCAGCTGGGTGGGTGAACTTTTGCGGTTGTTTTCTCGCGTGGGCGGGCTGTCCGCGCTTGCGCTGTGCTTCGCTTCCCCATTCACGATTCAGATTGGATCGACTAATAATATGTGCATCGATGGAAGTGGGCCAGGCCAGGCCCTCGTGCGCGTGGGTTTCGTGCACCATGCACTTGTTCTCGACGGAGATGGGGACGGGGACGGTGACGGTGACGGTGACGGTGACGGAGAAGGGGAAGGAGACAGACGCGTCCAAATCACGCTTCACGCTAGGGATCGCGGACAAATCACGAAAATCGTGAATGACATTGATCAGGTTCGCAGTGGCAAGCTTTGATGTCCATCTTCATCTTCATTTTTCCAAGTCAAAAGAGGCGGACTCACAAACGCAACGAGAAGGGTTGTGAGGTTGGTGGGTTGGGTTGGGTTGGATTGGGTTGGGAAGGGAAGCACAAAACAGTGTATGCGGTGAAGG